GCTGTATGTGATATTTAGGAATTTACTATAATTTGCCTTTATAGAAAAGTTGTATTATACTTTTTGTGATATATAAAAATTCTATACAAAAAAAATTAAAGGGCTATTATAGTAATAGTAATAGAGGAAACGCAGATTTGGGCGTGTGTTCGATTTATTCATGGATCAGTCGTTTTTTAGGCATTTCATCCAATTCAATTCTTCTTCTGAATTTATACATCTAGTATTTTCATTAGTAATAAAAATGAACATATAAATTTTGTTTTACGGAGTACTGCTATACTGCTTGTTCATAATTTATCGTTCACATGATAATAATAAATAAATAATACAGACCACACATAATAATATGATAATTTGTTATGCCGATGTGATTATTTTTATCAAAGATATTTCACCATAAATTTGAAATACAGGAAAAAAAAATATTGTATATTTGCTTTATTGTTACAATAAAATATATAGGCACATAGGTGCCAGATACATATATCAAGAATAGTGTAGCTAGTGTCTCTGATACAGTTACAAAAAATTGTCTATTCTTTATCTTTTTTTTTTTACAATGTTTAGGGCAACTTCTTGAACAGATGACTCTTTTACATCGAATTAGGGGTGTAGGCCTCTAAGAGCCGTTCCTTTTTGGTTTTCACTATTTATCAGTTCTTCAATTTTGAAAATCACCCCAGATTCCGTCCTTCTTTTTCTGCTTCCCCGAGTAGCTGAAGGGGAAGACGATGATGGAAGTCTAAAGAAAAAGTAAAATTTATTAACATAACTATTATTACTATTACTGTTAATACTATTTATACTTACAGATTTTTTTGGTAAAGATTCTATATTATAATTGATTTGCTCTTTATTCCAAGGATTATGTTCACGGGGTTAATATAGGTGCTATTATCCTCTAAATTTTTTGCACTGCATTTTCGTTTTGAATTGACCTATTGTAAGAAAAGCAACTATTAACAGTGTGTAATTTTTTATTTAGGACAAAGGAAGGTATGTAGCCAACCTTTCCTCCGGAATCTGCAGACCTTTATCAACAACAAAGTTAGAGCGTCTGAATAGAGGACTTGGAGTGGTTACCAAGCTGTTATACCCAGTAATTCTCCTAGGCAATGGGCATATTGCACTTTGACTAGAAGTTACCCTAACCTTGCAAAATAAAAATACACCCATTTCCATTAGTGGAAACGACATAATTATGTCGTTTCCACTTAGTCTAGGTTATTCCCCCTCAGGAGTGACGAGCGTTTTGCATTTGCCTCGTCATTCGAGTGACGAGCGTTTTGCATTTGCCACGTCATTCGAGACTGTGGCTATTTTTTGTATATCAAATTGGTGATCCCGGGTGATTTAAAATACAAGGCGCTCAGTGAGTTAGGTTATGAAGGAGTGACGTGCGTTTTGCATTTGCCTCGTCATTCGAGCGCAGTCGATCGCAAAATTCAAGTCATGATTGATAGATGGCTTGAATACCCTTTTGAAAGTCAAATTCGATATCAATAATGTTTTAATCACTCATATAAATTTTCGTATATCGGTTTAGTGCTTCTAATCGATTTCCGTTATAAATAAATCCCCGAATTAGGTTATGACGTAGCATCATAGTCCTTCTGCGTTTTCTATTATAACCCAAATTCGATAGCATTATTTGTATACCGATTTGATAACCGTGACTGATTTCCGTTGCAATAAAATAACTGGGGTAGGTTATGAAGGAGTGTAAGCCTCATCGCGAGTTTGATCGGTCAAACATATTTTATACGTCATTTGATATCACATGCTAGTGTCAAAGACACATATTATCTGGTTATGCTATCAAGTATGTCGCGTAATTGATATCGGTATATGCATCGCGTAATTGCTATCGGTATTGATTGCAGGTTGATGGGCGGAGTATATATTTATGAAGGCGTCTGATTTCTGCATTTTTAGTCTCCGCCATGTAACATTCATGATCATCGTCACCTATAAGTAGCACTCCAGGAAAATGCTTATTTTGGCTTTTACGATGAATTCGATTGCGAGGGATGAGATACGAAGTGTCGAATTGCTATCAATTAATGCTATCTAGTTGCTAACGGGTATATAATATTACCGAAGTTACCTACCCCGAAAGCATACCTGAAAACATATCATGAAAACGGGTAGGTTTCTGCCATAATTCTTATAATATATTTCCGCACTTACCTACCCCAAAAACATATCGTCAAATGGGTAGCCATCTTCCATAATTATATATAATATTTCTGAAGTTAGCTACCCCGACCACATATCCAGAAAAATGTAACGTAAAAAGGTAGGCTTCTTCTAATTTCTCTACTATGTAGAGTTTCTGAAGTTTCCTACTGCGACATATATCCGAATACATATCATCAAAAAGTGAAGCCTTTTGCCATTTTTCTTATATATATATTACGCAGTTAGCTTCACCTCACCATATACCTAAAGCATACCCGAAAACATATCGTCAGATGCGGTATATAACTTCATTTTTTCTTATATATTATTACCGCACTTACCTACCATGCTAAAGTGGTGTATTCTTCCATATTTTATATATAATATTACTGAAGAATACACCACTCGATCACATACCCGAAATATATATGCTAAGGTGGTGTGTTCTTCCATTTTATATATAATATATTTCTGAAGATTACACCACAAAGTTTTCTTTATCTCTATCACATTCATTTACATTCTCGCTAAAATATTTGATACATATTTTTTACTATCACTTACCACCAACTGAAAAAATTAATTTAAACTTTTCCAAACTATATTGTAATAATATAATCGAACAAAGATTGATACATACCAATAAAAAAAACCAAATACCAAAAATGAGCAAACAAAACGCACAAGTGAATCGGGTACGGGGGCGGGGAAACCGATGACTATTCAAGCGACTCAGATAAATATAGTGATAATATATCCGAATGTGAATCGGAAAATTGCAGTGATTATGGTTCTGACTATGAGTCAGATATTGAAACCACTATTATTAAATCTCCAGCAACCCATCCCCCTAATATAGAAAAACCAATGTCTAATTCGACAAATTCTACAGATCAAGTGAGCTCCATATATCTTGGTTCCGCCAAGACTGCTTTCACTAAGAGACAAGAAAAATTTGATGATAAATTTACCTCAAAAGATTTGCTAAATAAAATCCGTGAAATCGCTTCCTCACCTGCCAGAGATATGTTAGATAAAAAAGGTTCGCTAGAAGATATACATTTATGGGACTATCTCTTACATAATCGTGAAGCAAAGGGAGGAATTAGTCTACTCGATGCATATACACGAGAGGAGTTGATAGATAAATTAGTTATACAGGTAGAGCAAGGTGAGTATAAAAAATTCTCAGTTATAGATGATATTTCCGAAGTATATGGTTTACCTGGGATACATGAATGTATTGATGGAGAACGACCACTAAGACCAGTGATTGATATCGATGCCTCTAGTGAAAAAATGAGATCAGAAAAGGTCAATACAAGAGATATATTTATCCGTATCTGTTTTTCTTTCATAAGGGTATTGTATAGAATCCTTGACTGTAGTTGGGAAGAAATTCTCAAAGGATTAGTAATTGCTACATCCTCCGATTCTAGTAAATGCAGTTACCATCTTTTATACGCTCCAGCTCTTCTTACCGATTACCTGGA